GCCACAAATTCAACTTGCATAATAGAATATACTACTAGAGTCTGTTTAGCACTTTTCCAAAAGATAGCACCACTAGCTAATGTGAAAATATAACTTGAGGTTGAATTCAAATCATCTTGACATCCAGCAAAATCAAAATCTGAGTAGCCTGCCACTTCAAGATGATTTGAATGCTGAAATGTAAGGATATAACCTTCAGTTTTCTTCAGGTATCTCCTAACTTTCTTAGCTACTTTTCAATGCTCTTGTCCTGGATTCGACTGAAACCTGATAAGGACACTGACTGTATAGGCTATATCCGGTCTAGTGCAAATTTAAGCATACATCAAATTCCCCACAATACTAGCATATGGAATCATTTTCATAGATTCCCCTATTAGCTCATTCCTTGGACATTGAGTTTTGTTAAAATTATCCCCTTTTATAATAGATACATCACCAGGTGCACAGTTCTACAAATTGAACCTTTGTAGGACATGTCTTATAAGCTTTCTGAGAAAGTTTCAGCAAGCCACGATTTCTATCATGATGTATTTCAATGCCAAGCACATAAGAAGCTTCTTCCAGATCTTTCATCTCAAAATTAGCATACAATATTTTCTCTGTTTCATGAAGCAACCCCAAGTTACAGCTAGCAAGTGAAATGTCATCAACATATAGTACAAGAAAAATGAAATTTCTCCCATTGGTTTTAAGATAAATGCATTGATCAACTGTATTTTCAACAAAACTAAGAGAGGTCACAATTTTGTCAAACTTTAAATATCACTGTTGAGATGCTTGCTTGAGACATATAAGAATTTGTTTAATTTACATACCAAGTTATATTTTCCTTTCACAACAAAACCTTCAGGTTGTTTAATGTAAACCATTTCAAAAAGATTTCCATTTAAAATTTTTGTCTTAACATCCATTTCATGAAGCTTCAAATCATAGTGTGCCACAAGAACCATGATAATTCAAAAAGATCTTTTGAGGAAACAGGGGAGAAGGTTTTAACATAATCGATGCGCTCTCGTTGAGTGAAACATTTTGCAACCAATCTTGCTTTCTTTCATTTAACATTTCCTTTTGAATCTAATTTACTTTTGAAAATCCACTTGTTATCTATAGCTTTAGCATCTGAAGAAAGTGCAACAAGATCCCAAACTTTATTCTTTTCCATAGAATTCATTTCATCCTCCATAGCATTTATCCATTTATCTGCCTCAAGACTTGTCAATGCTTAATCATAAGTAATACAACCAACCATATGCCCAACATTGAAATCATTCTCCAATAAATATGTAATATAATCACTGGGCAACACAGATCTCTTTTTCCTTTGTGATCTCCTAACTTGTGATTTAGGACCGATTCAATCATTGTTGGAGGGATTGAAAGTTCCTTTTGGTTCCTAAGTGTTTCTTAACAACTTCAACGGGTTGAGAACCAACTCCTTCCTGTATAACAGGAACTGGAACAACAACTTGTTTTGGTTCAACAAAAACTTCTCTTAATGTGGAACTCATACTATCTCCAAAATCATTCTTCAGAAATTTAGCAATAATGGACTTCACAATTCTAGTGCCTCGATTTGGATAGTAAAACTTATATTTTTTTGGTCTCTCTGAGTACCCAATAAAGTAACCAGGAGTGGATTTTGGGTCTAATCTCTTTTCAAATTGATTATAAATCCTAACCTCACCTAGACATCCCCAAACTTTGAAATGAGCTAAACTTGGCTTACATCCATTCATAATTCAAAAGATATGTTTGTAATAGCTTTACTTGGGACTTAGTTCAAAATATATATGGCAGTTTTCAAAGCTTCACCCCACAAATACTCTGGCAAATTTGTTCTACTCATCATGCTCTTTATCATATCTTTTAGAGTTCTGTTACGTCTTTCAGAAACACTATTCTGCATAGGTGTCCCTGGCATGGTGTATTGAGGTACTATTCCACATTCTTGTAAAAACTTTGCAAAATTACTCATATTTTGACCAGACTCATTATATTTCCCATAGTACTCATCACCACGGTTAGACCTTACAAGCTTAATATTTTTTCCACATTGTTTCTCTATTTCCAGCTTAAAATTTTTTTATTTTTAAAGCGCATGAGATTTATCATTAATCAGGTAAACATATCCATGTCATGAGAAATTATCAATAAAAGTTATGAAATATTTGTTCCCACATATGGTGGAAGGCAAACGTCCACTAATATCAGTATATATAAAGTCCAAAAATACTATCACTCCTAGTGGAACCCTTCCTTGTAAACTTAGTTAGCTTTCCTTTTATACAATCCACACATGTGTCAAAGTTAGAGAAGTCTAGAGAGGAAAGAATATCAACTTTTCTATCACTTGAAATGTGACATAATCGCTTATACCACAACATAGAGGATAATTCATGGATTAAAGCCCTTTTCTTTTGTTGCAGAACTTGCATTGATCATTTTTCGTTATAGTTCCTTTGGGACCACTAAAATTTTTATTCTACTAATTTTAGCAGGACTTATTACGCTTACGCAACTTAGACTTATGGTTATACAAAGACCCCTTGTTTTATGATGGCTAAAAAGCTAATTGCACTGTTTTAACAGTCTCACGCTGCATCCGATACTCCTTTTGGGCACACACTACAATAAGGTCATTTAAATCCCATTTATCTCGTTGAGCATTATAAGCAACCTTAAACTGATTGAACTGGCTAGGAAAGCTATTTAAAATATGATAGACTAGAAAATGTTCTATAATGGGAATGTCAAGAGCATTCAACTTAGAAGATATATTTATCATCTTCATAACGTGCTCTCTAATTCTACTTGTACCATCATATCTCATATTCATCAATTTGTCCATCGGATCCTCAATTTCGACTTTATCAGACTCTATAAATTTCTCTCCTATGACATCCGTAAAACTTTTGGCATTTTCATTATCTGGGATAGCACCCATAATGGAATCTGATATAGAACGCTTAATAATTTTCAAACAATGCTTATTAACTCTTTCCCACTTTTCATACTCGGCTACATATTCAACAGTGCTCTTATCTATAGGTCTCTCAAACATTTTTCTCCATTGCAAAATCCTAGCGCAAAAGACCAAGTGCTATCTCTATATCTCGTTTCCATCTCACATAATTATTTTCAGTCAAGGTTTCAATGGTGAACAATTGACTCAAAAGAGATGAGGTATTATAAATGGTGGAAACATAAAATATCATCCAAACATAATGCATACAGTTAAGTGGATGATAAAATATCCAATGAATTAACATGGGCTATTAATTAGATAATCCGTAATTAAATTAAAAGCATATGAATCTCATTACGGTAAGAGCCTAGATACATCATCATAAAGTTACCTTTGGGCCAACAATAGAACATGCTATAGGTAATCCTAAAACACATCATGTAGCTAGTTTATAAAATTACATTGGTTTTCGAAACACCAACACCTTTGGACAGAAGGAAATTCCTAGACCAAATTAAGCTCGTTAACCACCTCATGCCATCTTCCAAAAATATCACAATAATAACACCTTTGGGCAAGATATTATATGCAATAAATCAAAATTGTTATGCAAAATATATATTTTCTTGTAGAGAAAATCGAATAAATAATAATGAGTATGCCACTTTGACAATTACCACCCATTTTTATGTTAAAATATTTCTCTTTGTAGGAAAATAAGGATCGTCTCAAAAATCCATGAAAAATGCAATCGTACAACAATAATTATGCAACAAATCATAATTGTCAATCGATGAAAGGCAAAAATTCATATGTGATTAAGAGACGAAACTGGCAACAAAATTTCAATATATATATATATTTGAGATAAAATTTAAGCGCACAAATCATATCAGCATTTAAATACACAAATATTTTAATGAGAACGTAAAAGTCATCAATTTATTTATTTTATTTATTTATTTGATATAATTTTAAACGGGTCAATAATAAAATTTAAATCGGGTCAATTTTAAAATTTAATTGGGTCTAAATTAAAATTTTTGGGGTCAAATCATTAAAAAAAAAACTTAAAACCCCTTTACAAATTCAAATTCCAAACAATATAGAAATTTGCAAGATGGCCCTGATTCAAATTACAAATAGACCCTCCAAAATTCTCAAATTGCTAAAAATGCCCTTCTTTTAAAATTGTAAATTGACCCTTGAATGATTATTGCAACAGGGGGCTTTAGACTTGATTAATTACAATAAGAGCCCCCGTCTCCACCCATTCAGCCCATTTTTGGAGAAAAACCCAGAATTTTTTATTTATTTTTTTCCTTGCGATGACTTCCATGGCAGATTGTGGGTTTCAAATGGCATGGGAGATTATGGGTTTCACAAGCAAATTCCATGAAAATTCTATGATTCACTTGGCTAAAACAATATGAATTCTTCCTAAAATTTAGGCAATCAAGATTCAACTGTGGACGCAAAAACCCATATTCTTGACTTCTTCAAAATACCAAAATTTCAATCAAAAGAAAATTATATATAGACATGCATACAGATTCACACACTTGTAAAATCAAAAAAAAAAAAAAAACAATTTCTTGAAATTTTTAGGCAAAATTTGGGGATACTTTTGATTTTACTGTAATTTCAGTGCAGATAATCCGAAAAACAAGAAATATTTAAAAAAAAAAAAAAAAAAAAAAAAAAAGGTAAAACCCAATACATATACAAATTCAGATTCTAGAATTAATCCTAAAAGGAAGTTAGAAGTTAGTCAAATTCTATGTTTTATTTCGTGTGGTCGTGGATTTGCCTAACATTGAATTGATTCCAAACATTAAATTTTGAGACGATCCTTATTTTATTGTTTCCAATATCCACGACCACACGAAATAAATTTTCAAACAATGCTTATTGGTGGATTTGCCGATAAGGGGAATGGGCTACTTATGTTATTGTTTCCAATATCAAGTACTTCAAGCATCCTACAATTGACTGATGACAGTGGTAATGTCTCACTTAGTTGATTTCCATATCAGTCCAAATACTGCAGTTCACATCCCTTTGGAAATATTTTGGGAATGGTGTCATGAAAATTATTATTGTTCAAATTCAAAACTCGCAATCCTTTACCAAGTTTAGAGACGTTTTTGGGCAACTGCCCACTTAATTGCTTCATACTTAGATCCAGAGCCACGAGTGACTTCAAATGTCCAACCTCAAGTGAAATCATACCTGTGAGATGGTTGGAGGAAATATCTATAGACCTAAGTTCTGTTAAATTTCCAATCGTTGGAGGTATTTGATTTGAAAGCAAGTTGACTAAAAGGTCTAGGTATAACAAGTTTTGCAAGCTTCCTATCGTTTGTGGGATATAGCCGAAAAATCTATTACCATTCAAATTAAGAAAATTGAGATTTGTCAACAAACCGATTTCAAATGGTATTTCCCCAGAGAAAGAATTGTTATGAATCCACAAAATTGTTAACTGGGTCCAATTTGTGAAAAAATAAGGCAGGATGTGACCACAAAGATTACTATCAATGATAACCAAAACAGATAATTTGGTTAGATTGGTCAAGGATAAAGGCAAGGATCCTGTAAGTGAACTCTCACTTAAAATCAATTGGGTAAGGTTTGTGCAAAGGCCAAGCTCAAAAGGAATTGTGGAATTGAGTAGGCTATCAATTGAGAGACCAAGGTATTGAAGATTCCCATGTTTGCCTAAAGAAGATGGGATCTTTTCTTCGAATGAATTTAGTTCAAGGATTTCCAGATTTGGCATCGAGCCAAAAATATTTGGAATTGAACCAAAGAAGTTGTTCGAGGCTAACCCAATACCTTTCAATTTCATCAGCTTAGTAAGAATTGATAGCAAGGAGCCTTAAAATGAGTTATCAAGAAGGTTCAGATATTCGAGCTTTCCCAGACTGGTAAATAATGAGTCTAGAATTTCACTAATAAAGGAGTTAAACGACAAATCAAGATAAATTAGGTTTTGAAGATCACTAGTTTGATGGGGAATCAACCCAAATGATTACAACAGAGTTCAAGACTTGTGTGATTTGGAAATGAAGAAAATTCGAGTTGGTCAAGTGTGCCATGAAGGCCGACACCTGGCAAGTATATCTCATAAAATGACACCTCGGTGTTGCATACAACCCCTTTCCAACTACACAGATTTGTGATATTATTGAAGGCCTATGAATAAAGAGAATCATGAGATGATAAGCTGTTCTTCTACCTTACAAGAGCCTCTGCTTCCGTTTTCTTAGATAATACAATGTTCAGTGCAAATGGAAGTGAAGTTAAAAGGAAAGTGTGAAGAAGGAAAACAAAGGCTTTTTTAAATGGTTCCATGCTTATTGTTCTGGGTTTCATTACCGTTTTCCCTTTCTTCTTTTATAACTGTGGTAAATATGAGAGAAGAAAAAGATGATGTGACAAATACGCTGGCAAGCCAATGAAAACTGTTCGCAAAATTATTTCTTTCGATTTTAAACCACTACAAGTGTACTGTTCGTTAACAAGTAATAAAGTGGATTCAATGAGTCCGAATAACGTCCCACAAAGATTGATTAGTTCAAATTTTATCTAACGTAGCCTTAACCGAAATTGGATTGTCAAAGTGGAGATGGACCTAATTAAAACTCTAATTTCAAAAAGAAACCATAATTACGCAAATTTAATGAGTAAATTGAAATTAAAACTCAAAGCAATATTTTAACACACTAGAATAAAACTAAATGTTGAGAAGGCACGTTGTTATATTTAACAGAAATTAAATACGCTAGGATCACGATTTCCCATGCAAGTATCACTTTAAACCCTAGTTTCACAATATGACAACACACTTCAATTGTGACGAATCAATGTTCCTAAGTCTATCCAATACTCTCTCTCGAGATGTATCAAATCTATTTCTACATACCACCGGCCTATATTTCTATGACGAGCATATGTAAAAATGCATGCGGTTTTATGAACACTTAAAGATTCACGTAGGGCATAGCGATATATTTCTATCCACTATCGGACCCTATGATGATTTATATTATGTCAAATCTATTCCAATTCTCTCGAATGCAAGATTAAATCACTTAAATTCACACAATTATGAGCCCTTAATTACAGAAACATTAATTGCATATAAATCATTCAAAATAATAAAAATTGTGTCTTAACATCAAATTGCAAAATGAGGATATTAAAATTCAAATCACATGGTTCATCGATCTCCTAGCATAATAAAAATCTAGCCTAGCATGATTAAAATAAGAAAATACATCAAGTTTTGAGTAATAAGCATCATCAGATTCAAAAACTTGAAGAAATCTTGAAATTCCAATAGCCAATCTTCGTTCTTGCGCTCCAAAGCTTCTTCAAGATGTGTTTTACTCCCTCCCAATGCGTTGTGGTCGTCTCTGGACTGTTTTTGATATTTATATCCCGTGAATATTAGGTTACCAAAGTAGTTTTAATCGTCTAAGAAAAGAAAATTTCGTATCATACAAATAGCCATGCGACCGCATGGTTTTAATCCATACAGCCGCATGGTTATTCCATATTTCCAATTAAATTCTCTGCATCCCTTCGTGCAGCAGTACGAGAGTTCTGCCATGCGACCGCTTGGTAGACTTCAACTTCCAAAAACTTCAATTTAGTCCCTTTACTTGAATCTTTCACTTCTAAGCCTCTTTTCTTCACTCTTTCCATTCCATCATCCCAAGGCATTATCAATTGGCATTTGGTTCAACCAATTCCTTGATTTATTCATCGGGTCAACTTTTGGGTAATTGCACCTTGGTCCTTGAACTTTCACTTTGTGTCATTTTAGTCCTTTTTCGCGTCTTTTCTCATGTATTTCACCATGTTCATCGGTGTTACCTACAATTCACAAATGTAATGAAATTAAGTCACAACTCAATTATTTTACTCGTAATTAAGTCATGTTTGTGACCTAAATAAGCGTGCAAAAACACACTTATCAAACCCCCTAAACTTGAACTATTGTTTGTCCTCAAACAAGATAGTGACTAAATTATGAACAAACATGGCTTAATACCCTGTTACGGCTCAGGATTGGACTAAGTGTTCGATTTGATGAAGATATATCAGTGCAAAAATGACATCAACCTTCACCTGTTAAATGCGTACTTGACGTGTGTGTGTGAGTTCATGCCAACATATTAGGTTCATGATGGAATTGAGTCCCGACCCCAAGTGGTCAATTCTATCCTTACTCGCTCGAGAGATACACAACCCCCAAATTTAGTATTATTTTTTTCACTCAATTATCCCAGGGTTGTGTTTTAAAATTAGGAATTTACATAGTTGTAGTCCTCACTCTCTCGTAGTTTGGATTAATCTCACTATCACGAGTTTACATTTCAACAAGTGAAGGCTCTCCTAAGTTTGATCGCTTCGACACTCAAGTTTAAATTAGGTTACTTGCCTCGCCTTAAAGGTATAGTTTCTTTAACCAAATGCCCAAGGATTTTTCTTTATGTTATCGCCTCTCTTTTCTCTAATTTTTCTGATTTTATTATTAAGCTTCTCATTTTTTTCATTTTCATCTTCTCATTTGCTTTCTATATAACCCATGTAACGAGTTTTAGATCGGTAACTCCCAAACCAGCTGGCTTTAGGGCACCAGGTTTTAAACCCTTATAGGCTTATTCACTCGAGTTATAAAGGCTCGATCAGATGACTTTCATTTAACCTCTTTCCCTCTTGCTTTCTATATGACCCTTTTAACGAGCTTTAGGCCGGTGACTCTCAAGCCAGTTGACTTTAGGGCACCAGATTATGAAATATCCTTACAAACTTACTTGCTCGAGTCATAAAGGCATGAAAAGAAGTGTATTGTTCTCACAAATTTATTTTATGCCCTTATTGTTCTAGACATTTAGTTTTCAAAACTAACCTTTAATTTAAGATTTTTACCTAATCTTCACATCACTGGTCTAGACAATCCACACAATAGAATTCATGTACGGAGCCTCCACTCGTCTCAATGCTCCCTTACAATAGCTCAACCATCACCAAACTATCTTAAGGCAGTTTACGGTTTAATTCAATAGAAGGTTATCATTCTTTTCCTATTTTATGCTCAAAATCTAGTCATTTATCTAACATGTCAAGCATGAATAGTGTGCACAGATAATGTCAAGTTTTGTAGCCTAGTTGCATCAGATCCAAAGTTTTTGCAGTTTAAACTAGTCCAATTATAACATCATAGCTAGCAAGGTTATCAAGCCTACACAAGCATGCATGAAAAGGATTAAAGCAAAACTGAATAAAATGTATAATTTTTTTTTCATCATGCACACATTGTGGAATACAGATACCGATGAACACAGATACTTAGTTAAAATTATAAAATTATGTCACCTCCCCAAACTTTGTTACTACATTGTCCTCAATGTAAAATTAACAGAAGATTAAAGACAGAATTTTACGGACAACATAAAAAGGAAAATCAAAATGTAGTAAATAGTACTTCCCTTGAATCAAAATGGATGAGGTGGTGGGAAACTGGGTCCTGCTGTACCATCATATGGTGGAGGAGGGTGTCGTCCAAGGAGCTATCGCATCATCTCATTCATCTCCCGCATCAAGGTAGACTGCTGTGTCTACTCGGCCTGGATAGCTCTCATGGTCTCCCAAGTTTCACTGACCCTCATTTGGATGCCGTCCACCCGACCAACATACAAGTTCAATCGGCCATTCATGGTATCAACCTCCCGTCGCATGACTGTGGCATGATCCCTGGCATCTCTGATGTAGTTCAACGCAAGGTGATTATCTCTTTGTAAATTTCTCAATTCAGTCCTCATGTTGCCAAAATCTTGAAAGAAACTGTGAAGGTCTCGGCTAATGCCCGCGGTGGTGGAGAAGATCTGTCTCAACAACTGATTATCCACGTTAGCTTGTGGTGCTGGAGCCCGTGGATGTTCCTGATCTGCAGGGATTTGGCCTTGTTCTGCCTGCTGTCTACGTCGCTCATTTTCTTGCTCTTCCCTGTGTTTAACCCGAGCCCTTGTCTGAGCGTCAAATGTAGTTCGTTTGATCATGGGGCTGGGTTTTTTAGGTAACTCCTCAGGTAGGAGGGCAACACCCGCAGCCCGACATATGCCACTAATAAGGCTCGGGAATATCAAAGGGGAGCGGCGATCTCTCCAAGTTCCCAATGAGTGTAGTTGATTGTATATATGAGTAGCGAGATCAATTTTGTTGCCTCGAGCCAAGTGGTAGATGAATCCTGCTGTCTGATCTAGAAATGTAGTCCTGTGTAATATGGGCTCGACATTGTGGCACATAAAGAGCCATAGAATGGCCATGGAAGGGGTAAGCTCAATCTGATGGAAGGGGTAAGCTCAATCTGATGCCACTCGGTAGTTTCGAGGGGCCATGCTTTCTCGTGGCCCATTAAAACCTCAGCCACTTCATTCCAGTGAAAGTCAATTGGGAGAGGGACCACATTCTCCATGGTAAGCTGGTAGTAATCATGAATGACCTCGAGAGAGAACATAATCCATTTTCCCCACAACCAAGTCTGATGGAAATGCTCGGAGCCTGGCGTGTCAATGTCATTGTTGAATGGGCGAAGAACTCTTGGCATAAAGTCTCATAGAGTGGATGCGGTCTCTCCACTAACTTTTGCCACCCACAGAGCTGAATTAAATTGACCAACTCAAAACCCGAGAAGTCATCAAGCTTAACGGGTCTTTCAGCATGGAAAGTCCAATGGCGTACAATGTTTTCATATCGTGCCGTGGTAGTTGCAGTTAAGAATTGCTGAACTTCTCTCGCGAGCTCTCGAGTACGGGCTGTCCAGGTAGAGGAGCTTGCTTTTTCTTTCCTGTTCAAAGTTCTTTTAGGAGGCATCCTGCAAAGTTTGTAAGATTACACTCATTAAGTTCGATGTGAAAAGAATAGGCAAGAAATGAGAAAATAAAATATGCATTGTACAAATCCCCCAAACTTTCCTAGATGCATGTATAGCAACATGGTGTGCACTAGTCAAGATATGATGTTTTATTGAATTCAAGTATTTCGCCAATATGAAAATGGAGAAAAACTCGGTATAACTATGCAATATTTCAGAATTTGGAACCATGACCGAGTGCGCACTTTCGGCCCTTGACATCATTGAGAATTATCAAAATTTTCCCGGACAATTTCTGGGCACATCAAAGTATTCATTGAAGTGTAGCACATACTCAAATTTCAACCCAACTGGATGTCGTTTGATGTGTTAAATAAAGATGCAAAGTAGGGGACGGAGGGTGCCGTGTGCAGTGACCTAATCATGTGCCTTGTATAGTCAAGTTTGGTTCTTATAATTTCCAATTCAT